TGTTCAACCTGAATACAATCTTAAGGACTGTTCCCTTAGTTCTTTACTTTATGGTTCTGTTACTGAGGCGTTCGACTTGGATTATCCCATGAAAAGCCCTCATCAATCTGTTTGGATTGTGGGTTCTATCAATGGGATGATTTGTCTTGCCATTGAGGAAAATGCATTGTTTTTATGGAATCCATCTATTAGGAAGTTCAAGAAATTGCCCGACTCTAGACCTACATTAAAGTGTGGTTACTATTTCATGTATGGTTTTGGATACGATGAGGTTCATGATGATTATAAGGTAGTGGGTATTTTCTGTACTTTCGGTTCTGGCGGTTCCTATGATGTTGAGGTCAAAATATATGGTCTAAAGAGTGATTCTTGGAGAAATGTTGATGATTATCAGGGTGGGGTATTACTGAATGATTCGGGTAGGTTTGTGAACGGAAAGCTTCATTGGGCTACTACTGCTGCTCTTGGCGTGTATAATGGCTGGGAAATTATTTCTATTGATTTGACTGATGAGAAATGGGGAAAAGTGGAGCAACCTTGCTATGGAGAAGAAAGAACTGATTTTGTATTGGGGGTTTTGGGAGATGATCTTTGCGTGCTTTGCAATTATCAGAGAACTTGGGCAGATGTGTGGGTTATGAAGGATTATGGCGTTAAAGAGTCTTGGACAAAAATGTATTCCATCAGATGTCCTAACGATCCTGGGAAGTATATGTTTTCTCCACCCCTTTGTATGTCAAGTAAAGGTGAAATTTTGCTTGTGTTTGGATCAGTTTTCATGAAATACAGTCCTGATGATAACTCGATCAGTTATCCAGAGGTGACTAACTTTGATGCATGTCTTGAGGCGGAAATCTACACTGAAAGCCTAGTTTGTCCCCTTCTACAAAATGAACAAAGGACACAAGAACAATGAAGGCTGCAGAAGCTTAGATGAATGACAATCCTGTAACTTACGAAATGTAAGAGCTCTCTTTTATGCAGTTTTTAAAAATACTGTTTTGCTCTGTTTCTTTGTCAAATATAGAACAAGACGTCGCATACATCTTTATAGTACATCTTCCTGGATATCTTGTTTGTCTGTTTTCATTTTTGTATAATTCCATGAAACAACAATTTGTTGCAAGACCAATTATTCGGTTGTAGTTTTTAGTGTCTAACACTAAGTAAATGGCATTGGGCATTTTCTTTTCTCTTGTTGAGAAGTTTCGTAAGGGGTTTCTTCCATAGACAAAGTCACCACAAAGAGCACCAGAGACACTGAAATCATGCCAGGGGAATGTGTGTAACCCTTGACAGAGTTATTGTTTGATCTAGGGCCCACTTTTACTAGTCTTCTTCAGTGAAATTTAACATGGAAAAAGAGGAAATATGGGAACTATGGAATAAGAATTAAAAGTAAACCATCGAGTTCAGGTGTTTCTCCCTGCTGCTTATAGCTTACTGTTAATTTTCTTTGGGAGTATCTTCTCGTTCTGTTACATATTTTGTCAATCAATGGCTGAGTCTTCTTTCAGTAACAACGTCTTGAACAAAATTGAAGTGGAAGGAGAAAGCAATTTAGGAGACGGATTTAGCTGTTATGATCACTAGAGTAGATTGGAGGTTACAATGAACAGGGGCAGCTACAGAAAATAATTGGAATTTAAAGGTTTTGTTAAAGATGGTCCTGTCTAAGTTACTAAGGTGCATATTCTTTTCATCTTTGTTATTTTAAACAAGAAGTTTCTCTGCTATAAAGAACTCTTTTATCTTGTTCTAGATAGAGTGGCAAATGTATCTTAGGTGCTATGGTTACGTTTCATCGAGTGAGAGATGAATAGCCTTGTTTAATACATTCCAAGGAGAACTCTACTACGTTATGAAGCAAATTTTTGTTGGAACTTTGTGAAATCTATGCAAACTCAATGTAGTGAAGCATATACAAACAATGAAAAGTAGCTAATCCTTGTAGGAAACCAACTTCAAGACTTTGACACTTATGGATTTATTTATTGCTGTGGTTCTATTTGTTTAATTTCATCCTTTGTGAGATACTAAATTGAGGAAAGAGAGGAGAAATAAGACGGAGGCTGAGATTACTGTAATTGTATATTTAGTGGAACAATACGAGCGGAAAAGGTTTAAAAGCCAAAAGGCTTGCGTGTGGAAACTCTTGTGAGTCAGATATAGTGGAGCTAGGGAGGGCCGCGGCTTCTGTGGAGTGCTCCAGCTCGGAATCAAATAACCCATTTTATGGGCGGGTCCATATGTTGCACGTGGATCAGCAAGAGTATCTCTTGTGACTCTTTCTTAATTTTATTTTCTTTTGGGATTTATTAGACTAAAATACTACATATACCATTTGTGCACCATCTTTATGCAGTCTAGAGTCTAGACTTAAGATTACTTAACTGCCTATGTTTGTTCATCTTCACTGCTTAGAACATGAACTGAAGCACCTTTGAGATATCTCAGATGTGGGGAAATTGAGCTTGTCTTTTTTGCTTAAACAAGCCAGGAGCTTATGTTTGGTACTTGTTAAATGTAGACTACGTCGAGACTAGCTCTTCATGTGTTGCTTTCTAGTTCTACACTGCTCTTACTTGTCAATGAGGTTCTTTATTAACTGTTTTGCATTATTGAACTTCAGGAAGTGAAAAGCTATGTTAGGAGCAACTAATTCACCACATGCTGACTGCATGGAGCGCAATGAGGAAGCATGGGTTTTCCCTGTTTTACTGTTCATTGTGATGTACTAATGTTATTACCATGTGCATATAGTTGGTAGCTTGAAATTGCATATCTCGTCGTTGATAGCTTGAAGTCAAGTTCCCCACAACAAAATGTCGAATAAGCTTCTCCTTCCCTTAAATGTCTGTTGTATGTAGACTAATCTGAATTAGATGTTGATGTGCCATCTGTTACTTATGATGATCTTAGTTATAATGATATCTTTGTCAACGAAAAGGGAAAAGAAGCCAAAAAGAGTTGTCCAATGATACATATTGAAACAGGCTAGCTTATGAAGTGATACATTTGTTGGTAACTTTCTGATATTGGTTGAAAAGACTGTGTCAACCAACTTTATCCCGTTTAAGGCTCGAGACACTAATTTAAGAGCTATACAATGTTCATCATATGTTTCCTTTCCATGGTTTATACGCTATTATTTCCTTTTCAACAAATGATAGTGACTATACATCTCCTTAGTCGAGGCTCTATCGGAAACAGTCTTTCTACCTTCATCAGGTAGGGGTAAGACTGCGTACATATTACCCTTCCAAGACTTCACTTGTAGGATACATTGAGTTTGTTGTTGGTGTATAATGTTCATTTATTTTTTACAGTAACAACATAGTTAGAAATCAATGTTATCTGATTACCTAACATGAGGAATAAGAATAAATTTAATCTTGAGACATGTTTAAGATTTGATACTAGTGCTATTCAAGTCTAGAATAGGATCCAACAAGATGAAAGCTTATTGTCATAACTTGATAGATTTAGTTTCTTTAGTGGATCTAGCCTTTTGGCTCATTTACACTTACAATATGTGTACACAATTTTAGAATGTACGGCATTCATTTGTTTATGGACAAGAAGTATATTTGCTACTCCTTGCAGACGAATTTTGTTGTCGGCTTCCTCGAGATAGATTTTGTTTTATAACTAGAGCCTCATCAGGCCTTTCTAGAGTTCGGCCTGCTTTTGCATTAATTCAATTTTTGATTTGATTTCTAGCAGCCTAAATATATTGACTATTCTTATAATGTTTGATCTGCCTCTACATAATGATTTTCACTCATAGAATATCAACTTTATTTTTCAAGTGAAATTAATGGCCAACCACCATTTTAACCTTTTTAATACTTTTTTATTTATTTATAATTTTATCTTCATTAAAAGAATAATTAATTGAACTCTACCAGTCTAGTCATTCCGATGGTCTTAATATGTTAAATTATCATTGTAAGCATGTAATGCAAAAGGCAGTCGCATACCTATCAATGATCATGTCATCACCAATAACACCTAGATTTAGAGAAATCTATGAGCGCACTGGTGTTAGCAAGCAGAGGCTGAACTAGGATTTCAAGTCTAGTCTTTTCTGAATTTTAAAATGATAATCTCAAGTACTAATGATTGAGTTTTAAATTTAATATTTATATATATTTAATGAATTTCTTAATATAAAATATTTGAATAAAAACTTCTCGGTTCAGTCAAGCCCGAAGCTCGACTTATGCCTCCGCCCTGTTTGTAAGTCCTAAATGACAGCCACTTATAAATGAAAAGTTGTTATATGATAGTCGTGTCCGTTACATATGTAAAGTTGTTTGTCAAATCAAATATAGGCAGATAAAGAGAAGGCTGTAATATATGAAGATGACAATGCAAGAAAACCTAAGGCAAATGAGAGAGGAAAGTGTGCCTTACGTGTAAGGTTCGCAAGAAATTCATTATTGTATCTGATGCGTTCACATCATAACCTTATATTTGTTTCCTACACTTAAATCTGTCCATAAATTGTGCTGCTTCTTCTTCCACTGGTTGCAATATAATTGCAATAGCCATAGTTAATGTGACCCACCTATTTCAGGAAAAAGATTTTCCTCCCTCTCCTCGCTTCTAGTTTATGTTAACCTATTTTCTTTTTGGTTCGTTCCAAAAACAATAATTACTTTTTAAATTTAGTAACAATTTAGCTTAAACTTATAATTCTACTCTTAATAAAATTTTTTATAACCACACAAATACTCTGACCCCTTTTTGACTTATTTAGGACCACAAATTTCAAAAATTTTATTTTTTTTAAATTTCGTGTCCAGTCAAGCCTATTCACCTAAATTGAAAGTGAGGGAGTATAAATTGTAATTTTGAGACAATACTCTCACAGGATATCTTTAAATTTCTGCAAGTCCCTTAGGCCCAAAAAAAAAAAATTCTCAAACTCCACACAAAAATTTTCAAGAACAGCTTGATGCTATGGATTCTCAGTAGCAATTGAGTTACAGAAAATGGAGGAAACAGCTGAAGGAGAAAACCATTTGCACCAGGAATTACCACAAGAACTCATCATTGAAATTCTGGTCAGGTTACCTGTCAAACTCCTCTTGAAATTCAGGTGTGTTTCAAAATCATGGCTTTCTCTACTTTCAAATACTGAATTCCACAAAACCCATGTCAATTTTTCCATAAAGAACCCCAAAATGACTGATTACACAATTGCTGGTGTAACCTCAGTCTCTGGTTTAGGTAAAATCTGCCATGTTTACACCATAAAGTGTGAAAATTTATTTATTACTGTGGCTAAGCATGGCTGTCCTCCTAAATCTTTGCCTCTCTCGGCTTGGCTATTGGGTTCTTGCAATGGTTTAGTTTGTTTAACTAGTGACTCATTTACACTAATGCTATTGAATCCATGTACTGGAAATTTTAATGTATTTCCTGATACAATGTCTCAGTATAAAGTTGGTGCTGGTGGTTGTTATGTTAGATATGGATTTGGTTATGATGCATCTATTGAAGATTATAAGGTTGTCAAGATCTTTAGTTTTCCTCAGAATGAGGGCAGACATGAGAACATAGTTAAGGTTTATAGCTTAAAGGCTAATTCTTGGTCAACTATTCATGGTTTTAATAGTGGTCGTATAAATGGAATGGTGGGTGTGTTTGTAAATGGGGCTCTTCATTGGGATGTTTGTCATCCTCATATTTCGCGTGCTTTTTCGGAGATTGTTACTTTGGATTTGGCTGCAGAGAGACATGGAAAAATTGCACTTCCTAGTAATGAAGATGGAGGTATTCATTGGACATTAGGCGTTTCAAGAGGGCGTTTAGTTGCTTGTTGCAACTATGAAACAAATAAGGCAGATATGTGGGTGATGAAGGAGTATGGTGTCGAGAAATCCTGGACTAAGTTGGTTGCCATCTCGTTGCCTGTTGATCGTAGAGTTGATATCACTCCATTGTATGTGGCAGAGAACGGTGATGTTCTGCTGAAGCTTGGCACAGAGCTAATACTGTATAATTCAAGGAACACATCATTCAAGCGACTTGCCGATTATGTCTCGGGTGATTTCCTTCAAGTTCAAGTGGCCACCTACTTAGAGAGCCTTACTTCACCTCATATTTGGTGATGTGATGACAGGTTATGCCTTGAAGGCAAAAAAAGAGAGTAAAAGATCTTTCTGATTGCCTGGTATCCCCGTTTTCAAATTTATTGATAACTTCGTGTCTTGTCATGTTTTTTCGCATTTTCCTTAATCTAGTAAGCAATGTCGGAGGAAAATTACACTGCATGGATAGGTTAAATTTTTATTCTTTATGTATATTCTATTTATGTTGACTCCCCTTTATTTCTTTGTATATCTACTTATTTATATTTTGACTTCACTTAGTGAAAATTCTGGCTCCGTCACTGCTTATAAGATGCTTGGTCTGCAACATTGAATCGAGAAATGCTACAATTATCATGCTCAATTGGAGTTCTACATTTCTACACAATTCATATCATGCGCCATGTTGTTACAAAATCCTTGAATCCACTAAAGATCAATGCCAAATAGGAAAGATTTGGGGTATAAACAGCTGCCTGAATGCCTATTAAATATGTACTGATCATCTTCTCGTGAGCTTCATGAAAGTTTCTACTGTAATTTGGTTCGTTTTTATAGGTTGTTGAACAACTAGGGTAGCAAGTTCCGTTCAGGGACATCCAATAAAAGAATTTTTGAATATACAACAGAGTAGAGTAGGTTGTTACAATAAGGACACTTCTTCGATCAAGTAGTTTTGAGGTTGATTCCTCGAGATCTACGTGCTGCAAGTTTTTCCAGTGTATGTCTTGGCATGTTCTTGCTCTCCAGGAACTGGGGTTATGCATCTCTCTGGTGCTCATTAAATGCTCTCCCTCAAGAATTACACACACAAAAACAGATATGTGGGCGTGTGTGTTTGTTTGTGTGTGAGAGTGTTGTTTGTGTGTGTGTGTGTGGGGGGTGGGGGGGGGGGGGGTAGTGCAAGTGGTAGAACAGTGTAAGTTAGAAAACATA